TCTTTATACTGTTCTTTGCATCTCAGCACGAGCATAGAATCAGATAAGAACAAAAAGTTAACATTGACAAAGAAACATTTAAAAACAAGCAGAAATCGGTCTGCACAGGTCTTGAACTAGCCTGGTCTTACCACACCATAGTACAAATTACGTTTTGTACTAAGGTCTAGAGGCGCTCCATTGACTCGGTTAACAGGTGGGATTGAAACGATTAGATCTGAGTTTACTGTGACGTATGTAGTGCGCCCAAGTCTGTCGTTAGCATTTAGCATTTAGCCTAGCCATCTCCTTTGCCGCTAACGGAGCCCGTGGGGAGTAGCGCCACAATTGTTTCTAGCGATTACATTTGTTAAACATTCCTCTTGCTCCTGCTTCAGTTTCTTGATAGAACCAGACCAGAATACTTTACTATCGTATTCTTGGCCAAACTACAACCTTCCCGTTCGACGCAAACTCTTGACATCACCCACATCTAACTACAACACTCGCCTCCCGCGCTCTCTGATTGGTCGGTCAAAATTCAAACGATTGTAATCACAAACACAGGGACTAGACCCAGACGTTACATGCAGGACATGATGATTGAGCGGAGTGTACGGATGGCCTTGAACAGACTAATAGGCTTTTTTAAATACATCAATTATCAGCATTTGTTGTGTGTATTTATGCAACTTCTCAGGCAGACCATTCAGAGCACATGGTCAGAGTGATTCTTACAGCCTGGACATTAAAAAGTCCAGTAAAAAATCCAAACTCTTCCTGCTTTACACGAGCCGTGAGAATGTGCCTTATACTGTGGAGATTTCTTTGCTAAAACATAGATCATTTATTGATGAGATCCATGCATCTCCCCTGATGAGAAACGGCAGCTCTGTTTAGGTTTGTGTGGGTTTCCATGGTGACGTAAGTGAAGATAATATTAAAGTTGAATTTATTCCAGAGTTTAAAACTTAGAATCTCAATGAGTTGGAAGTCTGAATGCCAACCGAGCTCTCCAGCATTCCCTTGTGACTGGTTAGATGGACTGCACTAAGACGACCTGAAGAGTCTGCACAGTCCGATGAAGCAAACACGTGTCTCCAATCACTGCAATAAACGTGTTCCATGCAGCTCATGACTCACTCACAAGTTTACAGACTTTTCATTTTCCCCATTGTGAAAGGGTTGGATCGTTTTGCTTTGGCTGTAAACATGAGAAAACCACAATGAGCCGTCGAGATACACGCCTACTATATGTTAAAATGTCTTCTCCATTTGGTGGTTTCTTTGCATTATTTCCCCCGGGCACGTCCTGGAGGGCATATCTAACCCTAAAAATGTCAAACCAACTGTTTTAGTTAGAAAGTTGTATAATTAAATATAATCTCTCCAACCACAGTAAAGATACAGACAACTATACATTAAAAATAACATAATGAAGTGCAGTTTCGGACTTCGAAACTTTAGATAATCCTACAAAGACATTGTGTCCTTTCTGGGCTTTTGTACATCAAAGATCTGTGCAGCACGGCAGGGCGTGTGACGCAGCAGTGAACCAAAGGTCATAGGCTGAGTCCAAACACATAGGAAGAGAAATGTCATCCAGCCCCGATACAGAGCAACCAGGAAAAGTCATTTCTACAAATTGAGACGGATTAGACAAACCTCTCCTTTATTCATTCACATTTCCAGTCGGGTCAATAAATACAGATTTTCATATTGAATGGTTATTTACATCTAAAAAGAACAATATAGGAATGAAAAGTGTTTAGGTGCCCATCCCACTTTTTACCAAAGGGACCAAAGTAAGTATAGTATACTGTACATATATATACCTTTTTTTTATTGGTTGAAAATGTGTGGGTTTGGTGAAGTCTCCTCTTGACACACCTTTACCCCGTGAAGAGTGTTCTTGGTCAGACCTGTCGTGGTGACGTTTTTCTGTCTTTCACCAAAGTTGTGGTGAGATGTTTTGCCGTTCTTCTGATGCATTTGTTTCCATTGTTCAGCCTAATTAATGGCTTTTTTCAATGATGGAGACAATTGAAACAAACTCTTGTCTAGACCGTTTGTCTGCTCCTGGTCGGTACATGGGATAATGAAGGAATAACACATCTTAGTAATTGTTGTCATTTCTTCAACTTTGAGCTGAGGGTCGTCACATCCACAGGAGCAGAGTTTAAAGTAAAGTGTTATAGATAATGTTTTTCTTATTGTTTTCTAAGTGTGTATTCTTAAATATGAAACAACCTAACAATAATTTTAATGAGAACAGCAAACTGTTATTGCTAAAGTAGTGTATTACGTGTCTTAAAGCTGCAGTAACTCACTTTGTGAAATTTTCTCTCTTCTCGCCCTCCCCACACTCACGAAGCTATCACCCCCAATACCCCCCTTCCACTCAGCCTGTGCTCACATGCTAACTGTTTACAGAGCTCACGTCTCACATGGATCTCACATTTGAACGTGGCGTGACCATAGAATGATAGAACCAGGAAGTGCGGAGGAACAAGACTTTCTTTTGTCTGTTTCTCTGAGTAAGCAGTAACCCGTAACAAAGACACAGAAGTTTCAGGTTCACCTCCGCCGCTTGTTTACCTCAGCTGTCTGTGCTAACCACAGACCTGTGGCTTTTCTCAAGAAAGTGGGGGCCAGTGGTCCGCTGTGATTGGTCACAATCTGGTCCCAAAACACATTCTCTTCCTCGTTTCACCAAAACTCGATCTAAAATAAAATGTCACGCCAGCACAAACCTGCGCTGCTTGTTCTTCAAAAGGACGTGTTTCCCAATGCACTGCAGGGATATGGATTGAATTTAACTAATTAATACAAAAATAAAGTGAGGTAATGCAGCCCTAATATTTGCATGTCATGTGTTTCCTTTTACTTTATTCAGAAAGGATTCCTTGAGTATTGATGAATTTCACATCACGACCTTTGATTATGTCAAATGTATACAATCAGAATGTATACAATCTAACCCTAACAGTGAATCCAGTGAGATCTGCAGCACTGACAGGCCCCTCCCACTCAGAGACCACTGGATGTGGATGCAACACACTGTTTTAATCTGTTTGCCTGGAGCGCAGTGTGTCCTCTTTAGGAATTAATTACATCTTGGTTCTTTCCTGTATTTAGCCTCTTTAAAACCCAGATGCTTGTCATCTCAGCAACAGCAATTTCAGGTCTCGCCTTAAAAATTAGCATTTGACTCTTCAATAACACATCAAAGTTACTCACCGCTTATACAGAGCGGCATCTGATAGTGATATTATTCATGTTTAAAAAACAACCACTGATCTGATACTCCGTTCATACTCTGTTCATCTGCGACCCGGCAACGGATGAAGCAGAAGAACATGGATGGATGGATGAACTGATACTATAAAACCTCCATCTTAACCTCAGGCAGATTCCACGATGCAGACGTTTGGGTTGAGCTACAGCTTTATCACGGTTTGTGGACTTTCATCACATACAGTCTCTTGAAAAAGTATCCATGCCCCATAACTCTTACACGTTATGTCCACAAACATACACATAATTTCTTTGTGAAAGACCAAAAATTGTTTTGTAAAAATAAAACAAATGTAAAAGTGCTGCTCGCAAAAGTACTTGCTCTGAGTGGAACCAATTGTTTCTAAAAGTTGATTGGTCAAATATTGACCTTCTGAAGTAAGAGAAGAGTGTTATTTAATCACAGAGTAATTACAGCCGTTCTGTGAGTGGTTTATCAGAATAAAACGTTTTTTATTCCGATTCGGAAGAAAAGAAGTCTGAAAAAGCATTGAAGCTGCAGTGGAGGTTTACCTTTAATCAGGACATTTTCCATATTTATGTTTAAATATAAATGCAGCTTTCAGGACATATGATTTTGCTAATGGTCTTTGACACAGCTCCACACTTCCATAACACTGCTATTAGACGTTAGAAGGACTGGCAGGTTTGACACTGACTCTGGACATCTTTTATTTTATTTCATAAAGTCTTGCGTGTGACCATGAGGACAAACATACATGTGACCTTTGCTGCTGTAGAGCCTCTCCCCTCCAAAGACTTCACAGCAGCAGCTTCTGTGCTCGCTGCTGGTGATAATGCATGTTGTGAGCCTACGTAGTCTTTGTTCAGGCCTAGCTACACACAAAGTGTAGTTTTCCCAACATTACTAGTTGTTGCAGCAGCGTGTGAAAACAAAGTGTGCTAGGCCAAAGAGAACGGACGCTGCTTACAAGGGTTTGCGTTTATGTAATTAATAAATGTGTTTAACTCAAAGCACTAATTTATATATATATATTCATATATACATTTGGTCAAAATACACCTCAACAATTAACATTGTGGCATGTTGATGGTGATATTATTGAGCTTGTGACATGAGACAAAGATGTGAGTTTTTGAACTGCTGTTATCTCGGTGTTCATGGACCAGTCTTAGAGTCTTTCAGAGTCTTACAGAGTCTTACACTTCTTCAGGACACTCACCAATAGAAATACACTCCATCTCAGAAACCAAGAAGCCTTTGAATTTCTGTTGTTCTATTTTTAGACTATCTGAGAACAGGTACAGATAGTGGAAGCGCACACACAAAGCCAGAGCTGGCTCCAATCTCTCCAGAATAATCAAAGCTCGATGGAAACGAGACGAGGTAGAGACAAAATGTTGCACTAAGGAAAGAGGTGGGAGAAATAAGTTTATTAATGTTTCAGACTTGTGTACAGGGGATTTGCTATTCTCTAGAACATGGTTTAATGATTCATGTTTCATATGTTGTGACTGGAAAGAATCCATCAAATGACTGTTCTTCTTTAGATAAAATAGTTTATTTGTCCCACAGTCGGGATATTACAACAATGTAATGGTTGTGTTTTTGGCTAGTTTCAAATGTAAATGCTTTTCCTGATTAAATCAATCTGATTTTCCAGGAGAATATATTGTTTAATAAACTGGATCGTTATAAAGCCAATGTAAAATGCTGATATACAGTTTTGTGGAGCAAACATATTTTGTCTTGTCTGTTTCAGTGGGCAGCTGGCCTTCCTGTTGGAGAATGTTCCATGTATCGATGCCAACTGCCGTGTGGGAAGAATGTTCCGCATCCGCTCCGACCAATCAGATTTAGAGGCCATCCAAAACGCTGTCATGGCAACATTCTTTGACATCTATGAAGACGTGAGTAACATTTGCTATTGTCATGTCTGTTTAAATGATCCACTATTCTTTACATACGCCAAATGGAACAAAGAAAATATAACCACAAGAAGATTATAACTTTAGTTTTTTGTCCAATTCATGAAAAGGAATTACACTTCATAATATACACACAAAAAACGCATCCATTCATTTCCCCTTCTGTCTACAACACATAAACAAACTATTACTTTTGGGTGGAAAATTACTTACTTCCTTACTTACATATGGCATGAAACATAAATATATGAGATAATTTATTCTATTTAAAGCTGCACTAACTGACTTTGGGATTTTGAAGCCGCGGACTCACTGGCCTCTCTCTTTCTGCTCCCCTCCCCGCACCCACGAAGCTATCGCCCCCACACACACACACTGTTGTTGACGGAGCTAGCGTCTCCCAATATGGATAATACATGGACATGGATTTGCACGTGGATGGCGTGACCATAGAACGATAGAACCGGGAAGCGCAGAGGAACGAGACTTTCTTTTGGATGGATGTCTCGCTGTGTAAGCAGGAACTGGTAGAGTTTCGCTTTTCAGCCCGAGCCCGAGCAGGGCCTCATTTGGCGCTCAGCTGTCGGGTTCGTGCCGGGCTCGGGCTTCTTTTTTTAAATATGTTTCTTTTTTATTATTATTATTATTATTTTTAAATGATTTTTATACATAATGATATGCATATATATATATATATATTAATAACAATGTCCGTTGATTGACAACAAGTTATTAAAAATAGTGAATATATTAATGACACCGTAACCAGCGTGTCCTACAGCAGCAGCGAGCCGTGAACGCATCATCCCCGTGTCTCCTGCTGCTGTGGTCAACAGCGAACAGGAACAATAGTAGAAATGGATCAAGTGGAGACAAAACAAATTCAAAAGTGGAGACTAAACTTGCAATTGGAGGTGAGTGCGTACAACGGGAAATCAGATGTGTCGGGTTCTGTCGGGCTCGGGCCTGTTATACAGCGTTCATTGGTCGGGCTTATACGGGCTCGGGCTTAACATTAGCGGGCTCGGGCCGGGTCAGGTTTCATTTTTCAGGCCCGAACGAAACTCTAGTAACCGGTGACGAAGACGAGGAAGTTTCAGGTTAGCTCCTCTTCTTGTTGTGCTAACTCAGCCGTCTATGCTAACGGACCTGTAGATTTCTCACAAAAGTGGGGGCCAGTGGTCCACTGTGATTGGTCACAATCTGAGACCCGAAACACATTCTCTTCCTTGTTTCATCAAAACTCGATCTAAAATATAATGTCCCGCCAGCACAACCCAGCGCTACTTTTTCTCCAAAAGGACGTTTATCCCACTGCACTACACTGTAAACCCTAACTTCAATCGTACTTCAGATATCAAAGTTATTTTAAATAGATTTTTCCCAGTAAGTAAATATTACTCATTTATTGTTAGTTTATTTAAAGCTTGGCTATATCACTCAGGGTTTTCTTTGAACTGAACTGTTTCTGTTCAAGTAAGCCTCACTTTTGACATTTTGATGTGTAGAGTCTTTAATGAGGCAGGTGTGACAATGACAGTGTGTCCTGGTGGCTGAGTGGGTAGCACCATTACCTCTCAACTACAGGGTTCTGAGTAAGATTCCCGGTCGGAGCATAAGAAGAAATTTAAACTTTATTGCAATCACTTGAGTTACTTGGTAATATCAAGTAAAGGATGTACTCGAGTAATTCAAGTGAAGTTAATACGCAATTTATTTCCATGCTTTTTTCAAGTAAACTTTACTTGTCAGGGTTTACAGTGTACATGGACATGGATAGCACTTTTGTAATGAATACAAAAATAAAGTCAGTTAGTGCAGCTTTAATGTATTCTTTAATCTCTTTTTATTCTTTGACGCATTGCATGGGATTGAGTGATGTCACAACTCTGACATTAAACACTGAATTGGCCCTGCTCAAATTCCATCTCTGACAAAGTGCTCATTATGTAATTCTTAACCTGTGTAATTCTTAACCTGTCCCCCCGCCCTTTATAAAGTCACTTTACTGCCCATCATACGTCACTTTACTTCACTGTACTGCTGTCACCTTACATTGTGTGCACCATGTGCACTTGTATATTGTAAATAGTAACTGTAACTCTATTTTAAATTTAAATTTATTCTTTAGAAGTGTTTTTTATTCTTATTTTTATTATCTCTTTTTGACTGTTGCACTGAGCCAAAGCAATTTCCTAGTCTGTGACCTCCTGTTACTTACGTGGCAATAAAAATGATTCTGATTCTGATTCTGATTCTGATTTAAGTCCAAAAGCCTTTTTAACATTTGCTTAATTACTTCAAAGCATATGAAAGACAGCCCAATGTTTTCAATGACTTTGTTCACCAACTTAAAGAATACTCCAGTGACTGCTTTGTTGATGTACCCATTTGTACTTGCAGGGCATTTTAGACATGCTGGTTCTGAGTAAAGGCGACGGCAAAGACCCAAACATCCATGCTTTGAAGAACAACTTTGAAGCTGATGCCTATTTTGTTAAAGTCATGGGTAAGTGAAGGATTTTCACCCATTCACACTCACATCACGGTCTTCTCGGTGCCACTCGGTGTTGGACGTTAGCAAAGGCCAGACCTGTCGGAAATCTCTAAAAACTCCCCACATAGACAGAAGAAGTCTGAAGATGGTCCGTGATCGTCTGCACAGGTTTTAAATATCCATCCACAAAATACAAGCTGAATGTGAAAACGCAGAATACAGAGGTGTTATTCTGCGACATTCCAACCTTTGTTCATTGATAACACATTGAGTATTGTAGAAGTACACTGCAAAAAATGTATAAAATATGAGGTAATAAATGCTTAAATCGAGAGGTTTTTATCTGAACACATTCTGACCGCGTTAGAACAAGATTCACCAATGGGACAAAGCCATTTAGTCTTATTTCAAGAATTCTTTCTCATTCCCAGAGAGACATTCCTTGTATATCTTTAAAACAAGATAAATCTGTCAAAATGTGCTGAAATTAATATATTCTTACCTGTTTTTCATTACTTTTTGGAGTGTAAAATGTTATTAGACCGGACATAATTATAGGACTTTTTCTTTTTCTTTCTCATAATTACAGTATTAGATAGAGCTCCAATGGTTTCCACACCCATCAATTGTGGTCCTCTTTTCTTTTTCTTTTTTAGTGAATCTAAAAGTCAACAGAGGTCAGTCCTGGTGATGGAACCAAACCTTTGAGAGTGTTGAGTTAAATGGGTTTTATTACAGCGTTACATTAACATGTTCTTGCCCCAAATGAATAAACAACAAACATTATTGTGGTTTGAAAGTTGGGTACCTCAGCTTTAATCGTTTTCTGGCTCCATATTTACCGATTGCACATTCAGTGGAAACAGGAAGTCTTGTTTCTGACCTTTACCTTTATTCTAAATGATCATATATATAGATTATATAGACATTTATATAGATAATTTTACCTTGAGTAAAATAATGCATTTGGTGAGAATGTGCAAATATAAATCCTTGATGAGAATGTATCTTTTTACATGTACATATCTGGTGTATTCTGTGAAATAAATTTCTGAGATAAATGAGAAGCCAAAAGGCCTGGTTCCATTTGGTTTCGTCTGCGGCCAGAGAAGGTCAATAGTAGTTATTTACGGATCCTTTTTTCTCCGGCATGTTTTCACTGTTGTGTCTGAGTAGATTCCACATTGTGCTGTTTGAAGTCAGAAACGTTTGCTTTGTGACATATGAGAAAGATAAAAATAGTTGTACTGCAGGCCAAGTATTTGCTCAGTTTAATATTCCTCTCCGCTCATTAGGAGGAAAACAAGGTGCTTTCTGTCACTTGTTTTACTTAATTTAAGACATTTATCATTCGTTGGGCTCTTTTTAGATGTCTTATTTCTCTAAGATCCTAAAGAAATGAAAGGACCATTTACTATTTAACATTATTTATTTATCACCATTTATGCTTTTAAACTTCTTCTTTCAAATAATGTCATTTCAAAATTGGATTGTTAGTTTATTTAAGGACAATCAAAACAGAAGATATTGGAAAAAGTAAGAAGGTTGTGGGTTTGATCCTGTGTAGGTCTGGGCCTTCTTCCCGTGCCTGGGTTCCCTCCAGGTGCTCCCAATAGTTAAAAGCCTCCAGCTCCTGACCAAGCCGAGCATCAACATCTGGAGATGGTCCCCTGGCTCTGCACTGCTGTTATTGCCCTCATTGTTATAGTTCTCTTTTGTCATGAAGCTGCAGTGTTCAGAAACTGTGCTGTGTCCCTTTCTGCAAACCAAACATAGAAATCTCTTGTTCCATCTCAGATCATTAATTTACTCTGTGATTTTCTTTAAACAACAAGGTATGCAACTTCCTTAAATATTACATTTAGAGATTTTTTATCAATGAAACTGACCGGGAACTACATATTGTACTACTTTTTGATAACCACTCAAAGTCCTCTTATACTGTATACCAGGGGTGTCCAAACCGGTCCAGAAAGGGCCGCTGTGGCTGCAGGTTTTCTATCAGACCCAACAGAAGCAGAGTAGACTCCACCCATTTCCTCAAGTGAGTTCAGTCTTAACCTGAAGATTTGAGGAAATGGGTGGAGTCTGCTCTGCTCCTGCTTGGTCTGATAGAAAACCTGCAGCCACAGCGGCCCTTTCTGGACAGGTTTGGACACCCCTGCTGTATACGCTGGGGGTTAGCACCAAATTCTGGGCCCTGGGTACAAACACACTCGTTGGGCCAGCACTATGTTAATGTGTGATACATAAACATATAGGCACACTTTAGAGGGCCCCTCCCTGCCTTGGGCCCTGGGTAACCTGTACCCTTTACCCCCCCAGTCCGACGCTTGTGTGTATACCCGTCCCTAATGTATGCATAATGTCACCTCTTACACTACTTACACAAGTCTATGCTCATGATGCCCTCAAGTCTGGTTGGTATATGACAATATAAATGCGTAAACATTAAAGTGTCTTCACAAAACATTTAAGTAAATTGCTGCTTCAAAATAAACCTTTAACAGACTTTTTTCCTTTGTAAGTAAGTAAGTAAGTAAGTAAGTTTTTATTTATATACCGCCTTTTCACTGCAGAATTGAGTCTCAAAGCGGTTTACAATTGTTAATTTTGGGCATTTGTCTCTCACTCCACACAGAGATGGGAGCGGGGCCAGTACAGGAGGCGCATGCTAGAACTATTGGACATATTTTTAGTGGTAGGGGAAACCAGAGTACCTGGAGGAAACCTACGCAGACACGGGGAGAACATGCAAACTCCACTCAGAAAGGCCCTGGTCCGACCGGGATTCAAACCCAGGACCTTCTTGCTGAGAGGCGAGAGTGCTATCCACTCAGCCATCAGTAGCTTCGGCAATCATATGTTATCTTAATCTATTCTCCTAGACACTTCAGTGCTTGTCAAGGGTACTGTAAATATTTTTGCGGATAGAACAAATGTTAAAATAATTTGGGCCTTAATTGTCTCAGCTCTTAGGCAGGTGCATTAGTGCTAGACACTGACCTTACCTGTTGGGGTTTGACATTCTGTGCTTCCTTTTCCCCAAACAAACCCCACTTCTTTCACTATGGATTGTGTCAAGACTCTTAGCTTTGTTGCAGAAGGACCATAAATAATTTAGAAAGATGGCTTGTGGGTTTTCCTGCAGACAAGCTGAGAACCTGTCAGGTGAAGTTCATGCTGTGCACAAAAAATACCTCAAATAATGAGAGAAAAGAGGCATATGTCATTTTATTGTGACAGGGTTTCAGAGTTTACACTTCAATGTCTGCTTTTCTCAACAACAAAATCGATGTTATTAACAGGAAAAAATATCAAGTTGTTACCGTTTTATATAGGTGGTATTAAAATGTCAAAATGTTTGTTAATGTGAAGTTTCTGGAGAACATACATCCTTAAAATCCTTGTTACCACGGCGACCACTGCTCCTGATGGGTCAAATGCAGAGGATGAATCGGCCTGAGGGGATCAATAAAGTGCACCTTTACCTTTACATTATGTCTGAAATGGAATAACTTTTTGCGTATATCCCTATTTACAAAACAATAAAAGCTGCCGATGTTCAGCTATTTAGTTTTTCTTTAAACAACAAAACATGAAGCTAAGTTTCATTATAAACTAAAAGCTACAAACATAAAATCCTCAGCATTCATTCTCTTTCTGATAGAACTGTTTGTGTTGCTCCGCTTCGACGCCGGCAGCCGCCATAAAATCTTTTTCTGAATTCCAGGGTCTGCATTTAGCTCTCAGACCTGACTTCCGGGTTCTGACACAAAAACACATTCTTACAGGGACCAATGTCAGGAGAATACACTTGCTTTTCTCCTGCATCCATTATTAAGACCATGCATTTGCCATTATGGGTGTGAAATTATTATTGTAATTCAAATTCCATCAAACCGTAACAATCTTCGGGTCATCGTCACACCGGGCTTTTAGCATTTTTTTCTTATTCAAACTTCATTCCGCATCGCATGGACATTGCTTTCTGAGTGCGAGGATAAGCGACAAAGAGACGAATTGGCGCAAGGTGGACAGATGGATGATTATCGATGTGGAAGAAGTCAAACCAGAGCACAAACCCCGACATTAGAGACCAGTAAGAGCCATGGTTGAAAAGAATGTGAAGGAGTGTAGGGCTCCAGATGAAGAGGCAGAGTGACAGGCAGAACTGTACGAGTTGATTAGTTCCTGCTCCCTCATTAGGATGCAGATTAGCAGCATTGAGGAACATCTGGTCGCTTTTCCATACAGTCCTTTTTTTTCTGAGCGGCTATATCCTCTCCTCATCTCTGCTTTCATCTCATCCCTTCTTCCCTGCCCTCTCTCCCGCTTTGCTGTCTCTTCCCTCCTGTCAGTTCTCTGCACTTGTGTGACAATGGAGAGATTTACATCGACAAGTATGGGCTGGTCTCTCACTGTGTGCTGTGTGCGATCACTGCCAACACACTTTTTCTGTCCTGCTGGATCAAAATAACTGCTGGTTCCAGACAATGTAAACCATAGGTGTCAAAGTCAAGGCCCAGGGGCCAGATCCAGCTCGAAAGACCAGTTCCAGTGGCCCCTGAAAGGATTTTAAATTAAAATATCAAATAGCTGCATTGATGGTATTATGCGACAAAGGCATGTTATCGATTACTAATTTTCTCAAGAAAACAACATTAAAATTGAATTCCATAAGAAAGGTTAAGCCAACACAGTTGGGGCGACAGTAGCTCAGTTGGTAGAGCATTGGCCTTTGAGCCTGAAGGTCGTGGGTTCGAGCCCACCTCAAGACCTACTTCACGACTCCCACTGATGACTGCTGTCGTTGTGTCCTTGGGCAAGACACTTAACCCCACTTTGCCTGAAGTCCCCACTGAAAGATCTCAGCTCCTGTGGACTCACCACCTGCAGGAGGATCAGGGAGGGGCTGGTGCTCTGTGTACTGGGTGCAGCTCTGACTACCACCCCTCCGACCCAGAAATGGATTAAGGGGAAGAAAATGGATGGATGGATGGAGGTTAAGC